TCTCTCTCTCTCTCTCTCTCTCTCTCTCTCTCTCTCTCTCTCTCTCTCTCTCTCTCTCTCTCTCTCTGTGTGTGTGTGTGTGTGTGTGCGCGTGTGTGTGTGTGTCCATGTAGTCCTCTCACTCCACCTAATCCACTCTGCGAGTTCCTCTTTAGCAACATCTAGAATGTCATAGGACATGTCCGAGCTGAGGCGTGTGCTCGGATTTGCTTAGCCATCTTGATCGACATTTCCAGTGATCCTTTCCTCGTCTTCCTTTCGCTGGCAATCCTGCTGGACGATTGGGATATCTGATTTATAAGATGCCTGTAACCTTCTAGAGGCCAATGGCATCTGTGACGTTTCCAAACGGATTTAATGGTAATCAACTTAAATGAAGTTAAATCAAGCCATGTGACCTCCTCTCTGTCTAAGAAATCCTCTAAGGCGCAAATGAGAAGTGAATTGTTAGAACTTAGGAGGGTTTTGTGGTGTAAACCCAAGGACTGTGTTGCTGAAAGGATTTCTGATTCTTTGACTGCCTCCATAATTCTTCCCTCTCTCTTTTTCTCTCGTTTAAGTCTTTTCTCTTCTTTCTTTCTTTTCTTAAAAGGGCAACAGGCTTGAGATATCATCTTTGAATCTGGGCTACCAACCAGGCTGCCCGGGTCACCTTGCTGGTAATAAACTGAACACCTATTTTTTGTTCTGCTTTAACATTAATGTGAGGCTCAAGGCCTCGATCTGCCCTACTGGGCCCTATTTTCTGTACAGTCGGCCGCCCTAAGTGAAGGCAGGCTCGACCCAGGGCCTGCAGGCCTATTTTGGGGTCACCACGCAACTGGGTAAATTCAGGCAGTTGAGCAGAGCCAGTTGGTTGAGAGCGCCCAGGCCCAGGCTGCCTCTTTTTGAATGTAACCGAGGCAGGCCCTGCGCCAGATTCGCATCATGGACCGAACACAGGCCGCGGTGTCGGCGCAAATACCCTTGCAAGGGTATCCGCCCTGTTTTTTTTACAGATGGCAGGAAAATAGGGTTGGGTCAAAATAAGTCGTGCAAGGCACGACCGTGCCTGTGATTTGCCTTGGCCAAGTTAGAAGGTGTGTGAGCGCGCAGTTTTAAGGCGCGCGTGTGATTTTTCCGGTTGATTGTATAGCCGATTTAGTCAACCGGCGGGAATTTTGTTACTAACTAGAGGAATGGAATAAAAGGCTCGTCCTTGTTCGACGCATCGACCAGTGTTAGGACAGGCACGCAGGATGATATGCGGGGCAGCAGTGGCGCGGTTGGGGCCCTCCGACACAGATGTTTAGTGGCCGTAGGGGCGAGTGCAGACAGGGGATTGGCCCAGGGCGCGTTCCTGGCCTTAAACACCGCGCGGTACCACTTTATATAGATTTTTGCGCCTCGATGTTTCAGGCTTGGGGGTAGCCCTATTGGTTACGGCGTTGGACTTAGGATACGGAGGTGCGGGGATAGAGGCCGGCGGTGCGACAGCGCAGGAGCAAGCCAAGGAGAAGCTGAGGGGTCGAGGGTCCCGCGGGACTATCCCCCTCAGTTTTGTTAGGGGAGTCTGATCGCGGGTCCGTTTTGCGGAACCAGGAGGGGGACTGCGGGTAGGCCCCGCCAATTTTTCTGGTGGTCCCCTCAATCTTACTTCGGGTTTGTTTTAAATCTTCTTTTTATTACTCGTTTCTGTTTCCCGCCTCATATATGTTAGACCCCACCAGGGTCCCGGTGTCGCGCCCCCACTGCTTCAAGGGACCGGTCAGATGTCCTTCCCCGGACCGAGCTCAGTGGGTTGGAGGACTGGCAGGCTGTCACACATGATTTTGATAGGTACTAAAAATAGAGGTGTATTTAGAGGCAGTCACACTTTATCATACAGCCGAGTAGTCAGGGTTATCCCTCCTGCCAGCGGCGACACGGCTTAGAGTGAGGCGTTCGGGTTAATCGCCTGCACCTGACCCCGTATAAAGGATAGACTCAAGGTCACCGGAGTCCCTATCATCCAGGAGTCCTTCAAGCTGCCTTGAGTGTAACCTGTGTATCATAAGGAGGAGAACAACATACATACATCATAGAGCAATTGATATTGACAAAATGAGAAGACCAGAAACCAGACTCTACAAGAGCATGACCAGAGAAACGAGACTGAAGAGTAGTACACAGTGTATGCAGGGAGCAGCCATCGGAGGGCTGCAGTCACTAATAAATAATAATGTCGTAATACATCATAGTGACTGAAAAGAGAGAACCTCAATCCATGATAATAAGCGGTACCCCCTCGTGAGTAAGTGCTGTCGTCTGAGACTCCATATCTGGCGCCTCGTCATTGAGAACCCGCGTGGCTATAGACTCTGGAACCACATAGTTGATGTCGAGAGGCGCTGCTGGATCAATCTTGCAGATATAGGCCATGCATCTAGCCATCTCCTCGTCTGCGACGCTCCTGAGATAAAGTACCTCCGCAAGAATGATATCGCCTGAAGCTCCAATCAATATCTCAATACGTCCTCTCCCACCAGAGTAGATGTAGAAAACCTCGAGAAAGCGATCTCCGTAAAGAGGCTTTCGATAAGCCTGCATAGCAAAGTCTGTCCCGACCAAATGACTATAGCCATCTCCGAGGTATGGGACCGGACCCTCGCCTCTTGGGGGACCAATAACTTTCTCAGACCTAGGGTCGTCTGACATATAGGAGTCAAACACCATCAAGAAGATACCGTGCAAGAAGATGTGCAATCCTCCTCAATGTCCCCCTCCGACGTCTCAGACACTGGTCTCCAGCGCTCCTGTCGCTGTCCACAAACTCAACCCCTGTGAGTGTCCCAGTCGAAATAATCGCCAAGATCAAGGTCACTCACAGAGCAGGGCTCCAAATCTGACTCATCTGTCTCTGATTTCGGGACACATGTAGTGATTGGGACTCCGGGTTTGGTTATCTCTCTCTGAATCCGGTCGTCCTTCTGCCTCTTCTCCTTGCTGCGGGGCGCACTAAGGGACTTGGGGTTGCATCCCTCAAAATCGAAGAGCACACCCCCAGGAGCTGAAGGTACGCGAGGAAACACCACGTGCAGCCAGTTGTCCCTCCAACAGCTCTCCCTGCGAAATATGTAATCCGCAATCCTGTCGTATGTGGTGCCCTTCACAACTGTCTCTGCCCCCTTCACCGAGTAGGTGATCACGAGCGTGTGTCTCGAGGTCGAGGACTCATTAGCCCTGATAGTGAAACTCTGATGTCCCACATGCCTGTAACAGAACCTCTCAATCAATCTACCCCACTTAGGGGTAGTCTCACGACGTCGGGCCAACTTGGATGGAATGCACGCTCTTTGCTAATGCAGATACTCCCTCCAAGACCTGGCCGGATATCAATCAGCAACTCAATGTGAAGGCCTGTCTGAATGGCCTGACTGCAACTCGATATAGGGCCCGCCTGAAGGGGTCCGGCTGAACAGCAACTCAATATAAAGCCCGCCTGAATGGGCCCGACTGAACAGCAGCTATCTCAGAAGAAAAGGCCCGCTTGAAGGGGCCTGGCTGAAAACTGCAACAATCTCGAGGGGTGGGCCCGCCTGAAGGGGCCCGGCTGAACAACAATAATCTCAAGTAGGCCCGCCTGAAGGGCCCGACTGAACAGCAACAATCTCAAGTAGGCCCGCCTGAAGGGCCTGGCTGAACAGCAACTGATCAGTAGAACATCTCATGCACAGGGACCAGTCACGAATGCTGAATGTACTGGGGCTAGACTGAGCCAGGTCTTCCGTGCAGGGACTGAACTGCCAATGCTCCCCGTGCGAGGGAAAATATCATGTGCATGAGGTGTTGTTGATCAGCAAAGGAATAAATCAACGGGAGCGTGATGGCAAATCATCTCGGTTAGCAATCCTATGCTCGGGCGCACAAGGGCTCGCACTCAAACAACAGTACCTAGCCTGGGCGCAGCCTAGGCGCATACATATCGAGCGCAAATGCACATGGGCGCGTACTCAAATAACTATATCCAACCTAAGCGCACACTGGCGCGCACTCTAACAGCGATTTCGAGCTTGGGCGCGCATGGGCGCTCACTCTAACTGCTATGCCGAGCTAGGGCGCGCATGGACGCGTACTCTAACTGCAATGTCAAGCTTAGGCGGGCATGGGCGCGTACTCTAACTGCAATGCCAAGCTTGGGCCCGCATGGGCGCACACTCTATCTGCAATGCCAAGCTTGGGCGCACATGGACGCACACTGTAACTGCAATGCCAAGCTTGGGCGCGCATGGGCGCACACTCTAACTGCGATGCCAAGCTTGGGCGCGCATGGGCGCGCACTCTAACTGCAATGCCAAGCTTGGGCGCGCATGGGCGCGCACTCTAACTGCAATGCCAAGCTTGG